AATAATTATGATAATTCTCTTCGAATATAAAATTTACTTTTATTTTATTAATCTGAGGGTCTAAAACAAATATAATTGTTGCAATTTGTTATATTTTATGATTTCAATAATATCATTAATTCTAGTGATATGTGGGATGACATCTAAAGTGAGAGTTAAATAATTTAGCAATTTAGCATTATGATGTTATTATGGCCCTATGATCTCCATTACTTTTCTAAAAGAATCGTTCCAAAGAATGAATTTAAAATATAATAATATGGGGATGTGGTTTGCCAATTATTGCACGAGTACAAAATTTATCCAGTGCACTTTGAGTAGCAATGGTCTCGTGTCAATTGAAAATGAAAGAAATTAGAATGAAACTTCAAATTGAAATGATTTTGAACACTTTTTTTTTATTTTAAATTTTGGAATCTCAGCTTTTGTTTTTTGGAAATATATTGGATCATAACTGGAATTATATATGAAATTCTTATTTTCGGGGTAATTTTATTTTTTATAGAAATAATAGCTAAAACTAGAAAAAATACAAAAAATATATCTATAATATCAAAATATTATTGTGTTTTTATATTATAGGTAGATAAAAGAATAGAATTCTGAATTCTTCGATTCCAATTTTTTTTTTTAATCAATAATTTTCATTATGATAACAAAATCCTAATTTTAGGAACGGAATTGGAATTAGTTGTATATCGGTGTTTTTTTTTTCTTTCTACCTTTTGCTTCTTCGTAAAGAAATTAAGTTATCATGATGAATTATCGATAGATCGAAAAACGAATTACATGAATAGGTACTCCACTCCCATCTTCCCATTTTATTTGTCTTTCAAATTTTATTTTTATTTCAAAATAGTTGTCGTTTTGGGTTTCCAATAAAGCATTTATTTTATTTTTCTCATATTTAACCTTACTATTCTTAGAAAAATTAGCTGAATCAATTAATGAAAATGGTTTTTTAGTCATTGTATTATGATTTTTCCATAATCCATACACATTTGTTAGTTTACTTAATACGTGTGCATCAGCTAAAAAACGACAAATAAGATGAAAAGCAGGGAGTACTAATTAAGTTATAAATTATAATCGATGATGATGGTTACAAAGTTAACGATATTATTTGATACTATAGTCCACGAGATAAAATAATTAAAAAATATTAAAAAAATAAAATTGAAGGAACTTTCTTTTCTTTTACCCCATACTTGCTCCTTTGTTCTTTCTTTTTTGTCCAGATACAAAAATACAATAAATCTTTAATTTCTAAAGATGGATAAAATTAAGAATTGGAAAAATCATTCCAAATATACGTACATACACCATGATAAGAAGATGGAGTAGTTGATGTAGGCTCCAAGCATATTCTACAACCAGCTAGAGTTAAAAAATAAAATATACCTATTATTTTAGAACGTCGATAAATTAATAACTTTGTTTTCATTATTTAATTTATGCAGGTCCCGATTTTGTTACAATGTGCTAAATTATTAATTCAATAATTTAAGATTTCACTAAAATTAATAGGATTTCACATATTTCGACTGAATTAATTTATAGAAGTTTAATCGTATTTCATCCTTTTCTTTAGTTGCATTTCCCCAAATCATTATAATTAAACATCACTTAGTCAAAAGTTGGAATATATTTATTGTTGAATATCATGGGTAGTTAAAAGAATGTTCATTACTTGGACTTCTGTATTTTTTTAATAGAAATAGGAGTGGAAATTGAAATGAAATTTCCAAATTCCATCAATCTTTAATTCAAAAATTCTGGTTTTAAACAATATTTTTACTTTAAATCGCTGAAATTTGCAATTTTTTATTATTCCAATTTTTTGGATCTCAATTTGAGTGTATAAAAAAAATTGGGTTTTGGATCCTAATAATTTTTGCAAAATCAAATTTCCCCAAAATCATACTTATATTATTGATAGCGTTATGTATTTTATATTATTGGTGAATAAAAAATAAAATTTCAATTCTAATCTGATTTTTTTATTTAAGTTTCATTTCAACTTTGGACTTTCTTGAAATATTTTGGAACGAAACTGAAATTAGATTTTCACTTTCGATCTAGTCCGTCCAATTTCCAACCCCGAGAAAATAAATATTTACCCGATGGTAGATTAATAATTTCATTTTCTTTTAAAGAAAACTAAACATAGTACAATATTATGCACAAATTGGATGTACTTGTTGTATGCAAATATAGATACTTGTTGATATTCTTAATATTTATTTATAGTGAAAACTGAAGCTCCAATGTGTGTAAGAGTCAAACTCGACTTATTTGGAGACTTCAAGTTCAAGCGCAACTAAAATTTTACGAGCTCGAACTCAAACTCGAGCTCGTCTTTAAGCTAGAGTTAGCTCATGAATTTTCGAATATTTTGGCGAGTTTAATTTTTTTTAAAATAGTATTAATAAGTTTTCTTTTTTTGGTAAAAATTAAAGTTTACGAGTTGGCTCTTGAACTTTAGATAATTAAAAGATAAGTATATATATATATATATATATATATATATATATATATATATATATATATTAAACTCATCAAATTTGAGCTCGAATTTTTGTTAAGTCTTAGCTGGTTAAATTAAAAACACAAGGCATTTCCACTTTGAAACATTAGCTGGTTCAATTAGAAGTATTTGGAATTAAAAATAATTAGACAACCCCCACTTAATTAAATCTCGTAATTAATTTTGATTAATTTTGTGACCCCACCATTTGGTCACTTGTCCACTAGTATTTGGAATCATTTACTAAAAGAGGTAATTGGTGGAGTAAACTGCAAAAGGTACCCCTGTGTAATCTCAAAATAGCAAAAACCCCCCTGTGATAAATAAATTAGCAAAAACCCCCCTGTGTTTTTTTTTAAATAGCACACTTGACCCACTATCAATTTAAGGGCTGACCTTGTGTAAATAGACAAAAAAACCCCTGTGAAATGTCTATTTTTATAGTATTAAAAAAGCACAAATGAGATATTTAAATTCTTTTTTTTTTATTTGAAGTAAAATATTTAAATGAGATATTTAAATTCTTACTTTCTAATGTTCTAACTATTTTATTTTTTTATACTGATAAAAACTAATTTTATTTTTGTTATATCTTTTAATTAAAAAAATGGAAAGGGGTTTTTTTATTTTTAAAATTATAATATAATTTCTTTATAA